AGATGAAGATGCAGAGGAGATGGAGATGGAGATGCAGAGGAGATGGAGATGCAGAGGAGATGGAGATGCAGAGGAGATGGAGATGCAGAGGAGATGGAGATGCAGAGGAGATGGAGATGCAGAGGAGATGGAGATGCATAGGAGATGAAGATGCAGAGGAGATGGAGATGCAGAGGAGATGGAGATGCAGAGGAGATGGAGATGCAGAAGAGATGGAGATGGAGATGCAGAGGAGATGAAGATGCAGAGGAGATGGAGATGCAGAGGAGATGGAGATGGAGATGCAGAGGAGATGGAGATGCAGAGGAGATGGAGATGGAGATGCAGAGGAGATGGAGATGCAGAGGAGATGAAGATGCAGAGGAGATGGAGATGCAGAGGAGATGGAGATGAAGATGCAGAGGAGATGCAGAGGAGATGGAGATGCAGAGGAGATGGAGATGCAGAGGAGATGAAGATGCAGAGGAGATGGAGATGGAGATGCAGAGGAGATGGAGATGCAGAGGAGATGGAGATGCAGAGGAGATGAAGATGCAGAGGAGATGGAGATGCAGAGGAGATGGAGATGCAGAGGAGATGAAGATGCAGAGGAGATGGAGATGCAGAGGAGATGGAGATGCAGAGGAGATGAAGATGCAGAGGAGATGGAGATGCAGAGGAGAGGGAGATGCAGAGGAGATGGAGATGGAGATGGAGATGCAGAGGAGATGAAGATGCAGAGGAGATGGAGATGAAGATGCAGAGGAGATGGAGATGAAGATGCAGAGGAGATGCAGAGGAGATGGAGATGCAGAGGAGATGAAGATGCAGAGGAGATGGAGATGGAGATGCAGAGGAGATGGAGATGAAGATGCAGAGGAGATGAAGATGCAGAGGAGATGGAGATGGAGATGAAGATGCAGAGGAGATGGAGATGCAGAGGAGATGAAGATGCAGAGGAGATGAAGATGCAGAGGAGATGAAGATGCAGAGGAGATGGAGATGCAGAGGAGATGGAGATGAAGATGCAGAGGAGATGGAGATGCAGAGGAGATGAAGATGCAGAGGAGATGGAGATGCAGAGGAGATGGAGATGGAGATGGAGATGGAGATGGAGAGGAGATGGAGATGGAGATGCAGAGGAGATGGAGATGCAGAGGAGATGGAGATGGAGATGGAGAGGAGATGGAGATGGAGATGAAGATGCAGAGGAGATGGAGATGCAGAGGAGATGGAGATTTAGAGGAGATGGAGATGCAGAGGAGATGGAGATGGAGATGCAGAGGAGATGGAGATGCAGAGGAGATGGAGATGGAGATGCAGAGGAGATGGAGATGCAGAGGAGATGGAGATGCAGAGGAGATGAAGATGCAGAGGAGATGGAGATGAAGATGGAGATGGAGATGCAGAGGAGATGGAGATGCAGAGGAGATGGAGATGCAGAGGAGATGGAGATGCAGAGGAGATGGAGATGCAGAAGAGATGGAGATGCAGAGGAGATGGAGATGAAGATGCAGAGGAGATGGAGATGCAGAGGAGATGGAGATGCAGAGGAGATGGAGATGCAGAGGAGATGGAGATGCAGAGGAGATGGAGATGGAGATGCAGAGGAGATGGAGATGCAGAGGAGATGGAGATGCAGAGGAGATGGAGATGCAGAGGAGATGGAGATGCAGAGGAGATGGAGATGAAGATGCAGAGGAGATGGAGATGCAGAGGAGATGGAGATGCAGAGGAGATGGAGATGGAGATGCAGAGGAGATGGAGATGCAGAGGAGATGGAGATGCAGAGGAGATGAAGATGCAGAGGAGATGGAGATGCAGAGGAGATGGAGATGAAGATGGAGATGCAGAGGAGATGGAGATGCAGAGGAGATGGAGATGAAGATGCAGAGGAGATGGAGATGCAGAGGAGATGGAGATGCAGAGGAGATGGAGCTGCAGAGGAGATGGAGATGAAGATGCAGAGGAGATGGAGATGCAGAGGAGATGGAGATGAAGATGCAGAGGAGATGGAGATGGAGATGCAGAGGAGATGGAGATGCAGAGGAGATGGAGATCCAGAGGAGATGAAGATGCAGAGGAGATGGAGATGCAGAGGAGATGGAGATGAAGATGCAGAGGAGATGGAGATGAAGATGCAGAGGAGATGCAGAGGAGATGGAGATGGAGATGCAGAGGAGATGGAGATGAAGATGCAGAGGAGATGCAGAGGAGATGAAGATGCAGAGGAGATGGAGATGCAGAGGAGATGGAGATGAAGATGCAGAGGAGATGCAGAGGAGATGAAGATGCAGAGGAGATGGAGATGCAGAGGAGATGCAGAGGAGATGGAGATGAAGATGCAGAGGAGATGGAGATGCAGAGGAGATGGAGATGACCCTGAGCCTGAATGCTGGAAGGACAATGGCTGAGGGAATTCCTGGAGGGACTTCATCAGAGCCAGTCACTCCCGAAGTTTTATATAGGCTGGTTTTGATATTTCCATATATTTTACTTTGGGTTGGGTTTTTTGTTGCTCCCAACCGATTCTTATGGTAATATCTGTCTTTTGGAGCCTCATGTCCCGACAGAACCCCAGATAGTTGTAAGTAGCCTACTCAATACACCAGAAATTATGACAAATAGTAATATAAAATGTGCTCAATCAAATGCTCATCTTCACAGGACGATGGCGATGAAGAAACAGTTTCTGCTGCCACAGAGAGGCCTACTAGGAAATGTTAATATTGTCTACACATCAAACAATCTACACATTCAAATTTCTTCACATTATTTATGTAGAGTAGCCTATATAATCTAAGTTTAATTCTAAGTATAAACGGATATTCTTATCTCTCCCCCTGTCCCCAGAGTGTGGAAGAACAGCAGGAGAAAGGTCCATCAACTTCTGGTGCACAGATAAACACAGTTCAGTGATTTTCAGTGAATGCCACAGTTTAATTCTGTAGAATGTGTTTAGAACTACATGATGTAACTCTAATCTACTGTATTTTCAGTTGCCAGTTAAGAAGTTATATAGACTTCATCTTATTAAAAAAATTGGAGAAAAAAAACCCAGCAATGAATAAATGTACCGAAAGAATGAATGAGGTGTTTAAACACCGCTTCCTCTTTAAAAAAGGGGAGGAGACCGAAATAAACTCTGGGTTTACGGAAGTAAACCTGCTCCCGATCAGGTTAGGTTCACAGAGTAAGTTACCATGGTAACTGACTCTGAGTATAAGTTACCTCTCTTTCAGAAACGGGCTTGACTTACCCTGCTTTCTCAGGTTTGACTTATCTCCCATTCTGAAACAGAAAACCCAGAGTTTCCCTCATTTCAGGGTTAACATACTCAGAGTTTTCACTTAACCTCCTTTCTGAAACAGGCCCCGGGCATTCAGAAGTCATTGTGTTTGGTGTGTGTGGTGATTATCGTGTTCTGGCGTTCAGACGTCGTTGTGTTTGGTGTGTGTGGTGATTGTCGTGTTCTGGCGTGTGAACATATGGTGCAGCATTTGGTCAGTTCCTCTGTATGTTGAAGCATTGGAGCGTCCCGTTCTCGAGTTACTCACGCACGAGTGGACACTGATATATCAGGGAAGCAGTGAGTTATGGATTCGAGACTCTGGCTCTCAGTGCAGTGGCCATAACATCCAGTTAACATGCTTATATACATGCATGCTTTTATTAAAGTCAGCTTCATTTCTTTGTTTGTGTGTGTGTGTGTGTGTGTGTGTGTGTGTGAGAGAGAGAGAGTGTAGATTTATATTACATTGGGGGGATCAGCTAGCAGTGAGTCCCCTCAAAGGAAATGGCTTGATAAACTGTAACATTTTAGTCCACTGGAGGCAAGTGTGCAGAACCCAAGTGCAGTTTTATATATTCCAAAACAACATCAATCATAAAACAAAGGCATGGCATGAAACTCAAAACAAGAATATGGACTTACAAACAGTGGTTACAGGAAACAATACTTGGCAAAGTAACAAGGCAAACATGAGGGCTTAAATATACAAGGAAGTACATTTTGCAGGTGTCCTTTAATGGCCAATTAAGAGACATGTCTACTTAAGATACTAATACATGTCAAAATATTATATTCTTTTTAGTATCCTTTAGAGATTTTAAAAAAAAATCAAAGGAAACAAAACTTTAGTCAGCAGAAGACGTGAAATCCTAAAACTCAGGACTTCTGAATCAGTTTTTGCTAAAAATAAATCATGAAGTGTTGAGACTGCAGAGACATTTCAGTTTCCTCAGTGTCTGCTGAAGATGCAGCGTCGTCATCTCTCTCTCTCTCTCTCTCTCTCTCTCTCTCTCTCTCTCTCTCTCTCTCTCTCTCTCTCTCTCTCTCTCTCTCTCTCTCTTTCATTAGAGATGAAGGAAATCTCTTCATTTCTAGTTCAGTGTGATGTTAAATTGATTTTGCTATTGCTCAGTCACTGTGAAAGTGGAGCGATTGTGTCATGTTCTGCCGACTGTGTGTGTGTGTGTGTGTGTGTGTGTGTGTGTGTGTGTGTGTGTGTGTGTGTGTGTGTGTGTGTGTGTGTGTGTGTGTGTGTGTGTGTGTGTGTGTGTGTGTGTGTGTGTGTGTGTGTGTGTGTGTGTCCTGGTAAACCCTACATTATGGCGACAAATGCCCCACAAAGATGTCAATATCCGAGATCCTTGTGGGGAGATTTTGGGTCCCCATGAGGTAAACAGCCTATAAGTCACACTAAGTGATGTTTTTTTGGAAATGTTTAAATGCAGAAGGTTTTGTGTGATGCTCTGGTTTAGTGTAAAGAGAGAGAATATACAGTTTGTACAGTTTAAAAAAACATTATGTCTACGAAAGTCCCCTAAAACATGAAAACACAAAAATGTGTTTGTGTGTGTGAGAGAGAGAGAGAGAGAGAGAGAGAGAGAGAGAGAGAGAGAGAGAGAGAGAGAGAGAGAGAGAGAGAGAGAGAGAGAGAGAGAGAGAGAGAGAGAGAGAGAGAGAGAGAGAGAGAGAGAGAGAGAGATTAAAGCAGGCAAGAGTGAGTAGCTTGTTATATTATATCACTTTTATGGTTCAGTGATGCTGCACTTTCTCATGGCTGTATCCCTTTGGCATACAGCTGTAGAAGACCCACACCCATGTAGAGAGAGAGAGAGAGAGAGAGAGAGAGAGAGAGAGAGAGAGAGAGAGAGAGAGAGAGAGAGAGAGAGAGAGAGACGATAAATGAAAGTGAGCAAGCGGGGGCAAACGAGAATCCCCTCGCACTCAGTTTTCATCCTCGTTTTAGGATCTGGCAGCAGCGAAAGAGAGGAGAGGAGAAGACGAAGAATCAAAGCCACGTTTATTCACTCAGCCTCTGTTTGCCAACGCTTCCCTTCATCATCACAGCGCCTGCTCAACACAGAGGTACGGCTCTCTTATTCAGTACAATAACACCTCATTACAACCCTAACAGAATAGAATAGAATTGAGTAGAATAGAATAGAATCCTGCTTCTTGTCACCTCCTCACACTGCAGTTTTCCTCAGTCGCAGTGGATTCAGGTCAGGACTGCTTTTGTAGACTTTCTCCATCCAGAAGAGAAGCGCAGATCGTCAGAATAGCACGTTTTGTTCAGAGTCTGCTTTCTTGCATCGATGTGTTTTCTTCTGTTCTGTAGTTTATCATCACAGTGAAACGCAGAGCTGTTGCTTGTATTAGTTTCACTCCCACCACAGTAGAGCTGCATTGCAGAGGCATGATGGGAAACCTGAACCGTGACGGACAGAGTCTTTAATACTCGATCCGTTCCTACTGGACGCTTGTTGATCTGATCACTGAACACGTACGGTGTGATGAGACTTTATTAAAGTGGAGAGAAAGAGAGTCAGCTCATTGTTTTAGTCTCTGACTCGACGGTTTGCATCCTGTGATCTGTCACTCTGTTGCTCGAATAGTAAAGCATGTTGTTGATTACTATATAAAAACTTCCATCCAGACCAGATAAGAAGCACAGAAAATCAGATTAGAACATAGGCCTATACAGTACTATATATTTTACTGTAATATATCTTTTATCTTATTACATTAAAATACTGTAATATATATACAGTATATTTAGTATACTATAAATCTAAATGAGAATCTACTTAGAAAATATCTTTTTTTTGCATTTTTTCTTTTGTATTATGGGGTAAAATGTGACTTGAACACGTTTTCATAAGATTCACCTGCTTTCCTGAGGCTTGTTTTGATCAGTGTGTGTGTGGCATCTTGATGTTTTGTTGAGAACTAGAGCAAAAGTCAGTTAAAAATGTTCAAACGTTTCTAAAATAGAAAGCGAGTAACAGTGCTGTGTGTGTGTGTGTTTGTTTGTTTGAGTGTTCTAGGTTTATGAGGACACAAATGTGTATAATGACATGGGTCTATTACAACGTATCTCCTCATAAACCAAACGGCTTAAAATACATACTAAATATGATTACTAAGTGTGTGTGTGTGTGTGTGTGCGTGTGTGTGTTTGTGAGAGAGAGAGAGAGCGCGCGTGTGTGTGTGTGTGCGTGTGTGTGTGTGTGTGTGTGTGTGTGTTTTGCAGCTTTGATGCAGGTCCTGTAAGGATCTGTATTATGTCCTACATTCCCTCTGAATAAAAGGCTGACTCTGGGGAGTTGATGTGTTTCCATGACATGACAGTGTGTGAATCTGCATGTGCAGCGAGAAGAGAGAATGAAGCCTGTGTGTGTGTGTGTGTGTGTGTGTGTGAACTCAATTTGTTCACCTTAAATTAATGTTTTAGATTACGTTCCATCATGAGACGTTCCATCATGAGGCAAAGCAGATGATTACTTCAGGCCACACACACACACACACACACACACACACACACACACACACACACACACACACACACACACACACACACACGTATCCCTACTGAAAAAGAAGTGCACTTAATTGTATTGAATGTGCACTTGTAGTGTACTTCAAATCTTAAACGTATATTTTTAGTAGCCTACACTTTACGACTATGTTTCTGAACGGTGAACGTGATTTCACCAAGTACCACATGTTCCTGGATCAACATCGTTGTTGATCCTGGATCAACTTTCCAATCAACCAATCAGATTTGAGGGACAAGTTTACAGTTTATGTCAAGTTTAGGCTTAGAACCAGGGTGAAGTACTTACACATCAGTGTCATTCACCTTTCATTACCCTCTGATTTTAGGGAAAAGTTATGGGTAGGGTTAGGTTTAGGGGTAGGGATTGGGTAAGGACTACATTTTGGGACAGGAATGTTGATCCAGGATCAACAAAATATGTTGATCCAGGACCATGTCTTACTTGGCAAAATCACGGTGACCGTTTCGGAACACACTTAAAGGACAATTAACCTTTGGTCTAATTACACATTGTTACCTAGTCAACCGTTATCTGAGATTTGTTTTCATGATTATCGAATGTAAATAGTTTTATCTCTAAAAACTGTTTAGTGTATAACACTAGTATATAGGGCATAGAGTAATGACAAATAAAAATCGCTTGTTAATACCACTAACAAGGCTCAAAATAGCCCCACACTAGCACGGTAGCATAATGAGGGTCCCTACCTTCAAACCGAAGCATTGAGAACTTTGTCAGTGTCCAGACAGTTTAATAAAAAGATATTTTATACATACAGTCAACTTCGCGTATACAGACAGGAGCCATCTTTGAAAAAGAGTCTCTACCAGTTGATCTACGAACGCCGATCCAAGTGCGCTGGTGAGATGTGAACGAGCTATAAGTTGTGATAAGGTAAGCGCGAACAGTAGGCTTGAATCGGCGTTCGTAGATCGACCAAAGGTTCATTTTGCGCCGGAGTTCTCCTTTAAGTAATTGTAATACTTACAAACTAAGTAAGTAATTGTACAAACTAATTGTAACTGTAGCGTATTATTTAATATTACATTTAAAGTACATTTTAAATGTACTAAACTACAATTACAAATGTGTAATTACAAAAATACACATTTGAATAGAAATGACATTAAAGTATATTTTAGTTGACCACAAATGCGTGTCAGTAGGCCTATATTCGGAACCACATATTTCAAAGACAATAGAAATAATTATAAAATACATACTTAAGTGGGTCAAAAAAGCACTTTTAAGTTGAACTAATTGCATTTAATATAAATTTAAACTATAATACATTTTCAAATAGTAAAAAAAAAAAAAAAAAATGCAATTAAGTGCCGAAAACATTGCATTCAGTTCGCATGACTCTTCTAAAGTATTTCATTATTATTATTATTATTATTATTATTCTTTGCTATACTTCTTTTCCACAAGGGATCCCATATGTTTGTGTGCCAAAGCAATCATGTGTGAATACTTGCTGTTAAACATATTCTCATTTTCTGGCATACACACATTTGTGCCGTCCAACATTTCCACGCCAGTCCGCTCTTGGCATTGCTGTTTCAGCATGCTGTCCATATGGAAGATTTATTACAAAACAGGAAAATGTGACATTTAAGCTTACATGAACATTTTACATGACTCATATGGACACTTAATAAGTAGCCTATAAAAACTGAAATGTGAAAGAGCAAAATCAAAGGACAACTGATATGGGGAAAATATGAGGGTAGTGAAAGGAGAACGAGAGAGAGAGAGAGAGAGAGAGGTGCATGTTAATCACTGCTCTCTCTCTCTCTATCTCTCTCTCTCTCTCTCTCTCTCTCTCTCTCTCTCTCTCTCTCTCTCTCTCTCAGAGTTATGGGCTCTTTCTCAGAGCACAAGGGCAGATAATAGATTCTGTGACTCGCATTAATCAAGGGTCACTGGTCGCAGGAACAGGAAATGACAGCTAATCAAACACCCAGCCTCATTCTTACACACACACACACACACACACACACACTGAAGGCAGAGAAAGCATCACTCACAGAGCGTTTGTTTATCATCCGTCCTCTGAGAAACGAGTGTTTCTCGCTATAATATGTTTGTGTTAATACACTGCATCGTGCCATCTCAGGCTAAATGAATATATTGTAATGTGTAATTTAGGGATATAATAAAAGTCTTCAGAAAAAGTAACAGGGTGGATGGCAGCAGAGTTGAGTTCAATTGGAGATTACAATGTTATACAAGTAAAAAGTGCCTCTTAACCCTGGTGTTCTTCACACAGTCTATGACCGGACACCTGACGATGAAACTTTTTTTTCCTCCAGTAAAATCAATGTAATTTATTTTTGTTCAATACTATTTTTTATTTTGCATTTTGAGAGAATTGTAAGATACTTATTCATATTATGCCACAAATATGGCCCATTTTGCCCATTTAAAAAAAAAATCAAAAAAAAATTTTTAATGCAGTATTTTAGATTAATATAGAAATTAGGTCTTTGAAATCCATTTTTTGAAGGCAGATTGGCGCCATGTGGTGAGAGAAAAGACAGAAAAACATGTAATTTAATGGTGTTACCACTAGATGCCCGAGAGGCTTGTCAATTCCCTAGTAGTTTTTTTCGACAAAATGACTTTTAATTAATTAATTAATTACTACAACAAACTAATACTTAAAGTGACACTGAAGACTGGAGTAATGATGCTGAAAATTCAGCTTTGATCACAGGAATAAATTACATTTTTACTATATATTTACAGAGAAAACAGTAATTTTAAATTGGAATAATATTTCATAATATTACTGCCTTTACAGTATTTTTGATCAAATAACGTTTCAAACTAGCTTCAACGGTTCCATAATGACATCTCTAAAGATATAAGACGTTCAAATGAGCCTTACTGTTAAACAAGCAAATATTTAAAGGTACAATATGTAGGATTTTCGATGGTAAAATATCCAAAAACCACTAGGCCAATGTTATATATTTTGTTTAGTTCATTACAAAATCCCAAATTTTTCCAACTATTTGTAAATCGTGAGAAAATTGTGATTTTAACCAATGAAACGGGGCGTGTGAGCAGGGGTGAGGAGTCGCCAGCCAATGGCGTCATATCCGCGTTACCCTCGGTTTCCGCTCGCACTGCCATAGTAACCATGGCGACAGATGTAGACAACTGGGTTATGCTTAGCAGGACGCTCACACTGTTATTGTTTTGTTCAAACATTATGGACTTTGAGACAAAAGAGGACTAAAACGAAGATCGACATCTTTCGAGATGCCGAGAGCTCCACGTCCGCGGCTAACTTCGACTTGATAGAAACGCGAGTGTTGCATGTACTTTATCAGACAGGTGAGCAAATGTACATAAAACTAATCAATGTTATTTAGTTCAACATGATGAAATGTTAGAATATAATCTGTATGTTATTCTAATGTTGATCTAGCTTAGTCTCATACAGCCAACACACAACCTAACTAACAACATTCAACACACTCAAATGCCGTTTAGTGTGATAGTGTAACTGTTAGAGCAAGGGAAACAGCGCTGCGTTACCTCAAGTTTAATTCCTCTAATAAACTGGCCTGTGTGAGTATTAATTCAGCACTTGCGTGTAGTTCGGTAGAATGAAATGTCCTTATTCCTTTATATCCGCGAGACTCGCGTGTGGCGCTGATATCTGTCTCTCATTAGCAATTGCGCCCTGCTTCACACCACAGTCATGTTAAAAACATCACTGTATTCACTCATCCATTAAAGATCCATCAGCTTGACGACAAGATCCATAATTCCACTTAATGCGGAATATACGTCATCAATATACGCCTTTGTTATTGTAAGAGGTTAGCGACCCCTGGTGGCGAAAAAATCCTACATATTCCCTGATAGCACACGTACATCACGGAGACATCTATTTGATGTGCGTGTTTATATCTGGAAGACGTATTATTTAAGGCTCGTCCACACCGGGACGAATATCGGCACGCGTTATTCGCCAGCGTTTTCCAACGCGTTTTTTGTGTTCACACCCAAGCGATTTTCGCTGACGATGAGCCGAGTGAACATGCAAATTCATTCCCTGACATGAGATGGCGCCCATTTGCTCTGCAATACCACTCCATAACATTCTCTTTTATTAAGATTTTTGTAGTCGCTGTCGCGTTTGTCATATAGTTCTTTATGTTCCGACACCAACGAGACCAGCGGCTCTACATTCATCTTGCCTCGCCTCTTCCTCGTCTTATTTCTTCCCGGCAGTGTAGACGCTACTTGGCGTATATCTTCTTCGCCGGTGTGCTCGGCAAGACCGTTTTGTGTTTGAGCGCCCCCAAGTTGTGTTTTACTGTAACTTCAGAAGCTGTGAGCAAAAGCGCCAATCTCATTGGTCGGATAGTTTTTGGCGCGGCGCGTCAAAAAAAAAAAAGAACCCGAGGTGTTTTTAAAAAAATGACGCTTTTACGCGTGCCGTTTTTCGCGTCGGTGTGCACACTCACATTGGCGCCTTTTGTTTAGTCACGAGGCGTTAAACGTCGGCGAATATCGCGCGTGAAATTCGTCCCGGTGTGAACAGGCCTTTAGAGTGTTTGCTCATCTGCAATACATCTATAGGACGTTTCCTGTTAGATGTCAAATAGACGTTTAGAAGATGTCTTTAAGATGTAATGATTTAGAATGTATGTTAAACTGACATCTTAAAGATGTCTATCAGATGTGAGTAAACAGCAGATGCTTTCCACATGAAGTGATCTTTAACAGACATCTTGCAGACGTACGTGTGCTATCTGGGTTGTAGCTTTAAAGACTACGATGATTATCAAACATGGAAAATAATAGACTGAAGCAGCATTTTGTATATCGGAGGTTTATAACAGATTCACAGGTTAATTAAATTTCCTCATGTCAGTAGATTTGTTTTTTTACTAAGTTTTTACTGTAATGTTCCCCCTGTTCGACAGTTTGTCGTGTTGTTTTCCCGCAGGTGATGGCTGAGGCGGATCTCCTCTCCACACCCCATGATATAGAGATCAGCGAGGTGAGCTGTGACTCGTTCCGGATCACCTGGGAAACGGCCGCCGAGGACACGTCCCGACTGACGCATTACTTCATCGACCTGAGCCGTAAGGAAGGCAGCGAGCCCAACCGCTTCAAGCACAGGGTCAGTATTATTCTCTTATTCTGCTGTGTAAATCAACTGTTTTCCTCACAGCCCTTATTTACTGTCACACAACCGAGGCCAGTGGAATTGGTCAACTTATTACGAGTTGTCACAAGAACAATCCCCTCAGAACAACAACAAGGACACAATAGTGAGGGCTCGTGATTCACAACATTGGACCCTGTCGACTTTCATATGAAAAACACTAAGACTATATAGAAACTATTACTTTTTTTAATTCGATTTTTGAACCCAGAATATTTAATTAACCCTTGTATTAGGTTCACATTCTAGGTAGCCAAATTTTTATGAAGGGGGGCAAAATGACTCTAATTGGATTTAATAGGCAATTCATTATGAAAAACAACAACAACTCAAAAATCCACATATAATAAATAAAGGTAGCCTAAATAATGGAGCAAATACCAGTAAGCTGACAAGCGCAAACCTTAGTAAATCACCTTGCGTGATTCATTTAATACTTTAGTCCCATAAAGGGAAACTCCTACAAATGCATATGCAATAATATCAAAAATAACGCTGTCCTCGCCTTTTCAGCGCTAATTTATCACTGCGTCTTTAGTAAATCCTGACAGTAGGTATTTAACGTCAAAAGAGGGTTTGCGCTGGAGCAAGCTGTTATTAAATCTGGCCCTTTGAATAGGCCTATTATAAACAGTTTTGGTGTCATGTTTTGATGAAGATGATGATGAGGTGAGGCGAAGTGGATCTTTTAGCAGCTTAAACATTTATTCAATAAAATGAAAGTATGAAACCCAAACAGTGTGCGTAAAACAATGCGTGGCGCTCGCAACACCAAGATCATGAGTTCAGTTCTCAGTGAAATTAGCATGTATGATGAACTTTTAAAAATGAATGCCTTGTACATACACTTTGGATAAAACAGTCTCCCAAATGCAAAGACGTGGCTGTGAATACCGTCAGAGGGTGGTTGAGAAACTGACTTGTGAAAATAGCCTACATCAAAAAAGTTTTAATTTCGGGTCTGTGCAGCTAACATAAACTATGAAATATCCAGGTCAGATTGACCAGCAAACCTAATTTCATATGCGCATTCTACAATCATTTTGCATGTTCATGACCCTAAACAGGAAAAAATAAAATCATAGGTTAACTCAAACGGAGCCACAACATAATAAAATATCTTGAATTTCCATGTTTATTTTGAAGTGCTTTCTGCCTGAATAAGGTTAAATTAAGGACAAATATAGAAAGCATGCACCGGAGAGGCAGATGGTGTGTGAAGGAGGGTGGCTGAAGGTGTGTTGGTAATGAGCACATCTGACAGGCCCTTCAGGGGTTACTGTGACGGTCATAGGAGAACGAGAAACCCTGACCAGAAACTGCTGTGAGCGGATAATGACTCACCAGGACATGTTTCCTCGCCGATAAACACCTGAGTTACCCAATCGCAGGCCAACCCTTTACAACAACAACAGTAAAAAACATACAATTAGGATATTGCTTTGCAAAAAAAAAAAATCTAATTTAGTACATTTTTGGGGAAAAATGATTTAAAGATTTTTCTTTTTGGGAAATCATGCACCTATATATTATTGGTGTGTATTTATTTATTTATATATTTTTTATAAATACACTTGCATATAAAAATCTGCAACAGCGTTCTAAAGAAACACCTTTTGTAATCTAATTGTGTCCCCCCCAATCCCAGGCCTTTAAGACAATAACACATAAATAAAGGTAGGATATTTCTTTGCAAAAAATCTAACTTAGTACACTATTAATTTTGGGCATCATGCACCTATTCATAAATGTTATAAATGTAAAAGAAATATTATTTAAGTTTTTGTTTATTTATTTGTTTATTTGTTTATTAAGAAGTCCTCAGCACATGAAAATCTGCAATAGCATTAAAAAAAAACACCTTTTTATATCTAAAATAGTCCAACAGACCCTTAAAAAAACATTTATAAAATCAGGATATTGATTTGCAAAAAAATCCAATTTAGTACACAAGTAATCTGGGGCATTATGCTCTTGATTGATTGATTGATTGATTGATTGATTGATTGATTGATTGATTGATTGATTGATTGATTGAAATCTGCACATAAATTTTATCTAAAATAATTGTGTAACATATTTATCAAAGATTCAAATCATTTTCTTGAAAGCTGCATTCAAAGTCCACTTGACAAATTGAAAAAATTAAAAATAAAAAAAAATCTATATAACACATGTAAGACTCCCATTGTCAATATATTGTGCTATTTTGCAGCTTTAGATGATTCTGAGCAGTCAGTCAGAACTGACCAGTGTTGGGCCAAGTTATTTTTAAAGTAATGTGATTGAATATTGTGTTACTCCTTGAAAAAATAACTAATTGCATTACTTAGTTACTTTTTATGGAACGTAATGTTACTTTTGCATTCCTTTTTCTTACCTGGGCTGGGCTTGCTGGTATAAAAGAAGAAAAGAAGCAAAAACAACAACAAATGTTCTATTTTTAGTAAATATAAAGGCGATTCACACAGAAGGTGACATGAATATGCCTCAGGCTGAAGGAAATGCTAGTTCAAGCCTGCGCAGCTCAACCCTTTCAGCTCTGCTCACATTCTGGATTGCAGAAGAAAGTTCAACACGCTTGAGCATTAAAACAAAGAAGAAACACAAATGTGATGTTCATCTAAACTCATTTTTGCTTAGTAGTAAGGTTGAATTGGATCATTGAACGTCTGCAACAAAGACACTGGTTCATAAAGTGAGATTAAATATATAAAGTATATTTGTGTAATTTAACATTTCATTATTGCAGGTTTGTGTAATATTTGTTTGTAATTCACTATAATTCACTAAGCAGCTGCTGTCAATAATTGGCAAAACTTGCACAACTTCGAAAAAGTAATTTTATGAATTTAACTCTTTCCCCGCCACTGATGGAATTGTGTTATATGGTAGGGGGTGCTATTTCACATCTTCTGAAAGAGTACTGAATCTCCTGATCAAAAAACACAGAAGAAGCAGAAACAAGCGATAATATGTAATCATATGCATATGTAAAATAACATGATCATCAACATTAAACAGCATATAAATCAAAACTGCCTGATGTTACTGAATGAAATGTCGACCCAGGATGGGCTTTAGGACTGTGAAGCTTTAGGGGTGTTGATGGACTCGATCTACTCCATCTGTGTTTTGATCATTGTTCTGTAGTCTTTGACAAAAACACGTTTTTTGCTCAAAATGTTGCTTTTTTTTTAGGAAACTTACCCTCTTACCCATTCAAGTGTTGATAAAAAAAGAATGCATGAAGCTATAAAAACTTTTTAAACTTTTTTTGTTTAAAATCAGAGGCTCTGTTCTTTCTTTTGATACATTGCATGTTCGGATATACAAAAAAATATTCGGGGGGCCATGAAATTTTTGCGAAAATTATCAAAAAACGCTGATGTGGCAACTTAAAAAAATATATATGCTGGCCGGGAAAGAGTAAAAGTAATGCGTTACTTTACTAGTTACTCAAAAAAGTAATCTGATTACTTAACTCGCATTACTTTTTTTTTTTTTTTTTTTTTTTTTTTTAACAGTTGAAACATTATTATTTTTTTTTTTTTTTATTATTTTTTTTATTTAACAGTCAAACATACATACAAACCAACATAGTGCAGCAGTGAGCAATCTTGTAAATCCATAATTCCAGAAGTGACATATAAGTGATTTAAGTGTTTGATCTAAGTGTGTATGTGAGCGGGTGTGCGTGTGGGTATGTGTATGTGTGTGTATGCGTAAACAAAGTAACCATTTATTACTTGTAATGCGTTAGCTCCAACACTGGAACTGAATAAATGAGTAACTTCATTGTGTTTCAAATTCTTGCTGACAAAATGAAGCTATAATATAGGAGTATCGCTAGTATCTCTTTTGCACTCGATGGTCGCCAAAAATAAACTGCTGCTGAAATTACATCTGATTTTGCCAGGGCTCTAATATTCCATGTGCGAGCAAAAGGAAAGGCCTTTCATAAGGGGTTGCTATGGTTATTGCCCCTCTGAGCATTTCATAATTGGTTCCGCTTGTCAAAAACTCGAGCCTCCACAACAAGAGTAATTAGCTGTGATAGAGCTCTTATTTGTGAGAGACGTTACGCTTTAGTGAAGTTTGAAAACGTCTTTCACCTTTGACAGAGAAGAGTCGTCAGAAAACACTGGATATGTTACATTTGCAGATGTTATCTTCTCATAAATCGTATTAATGTTTCCCTGCTTAGACTGCGTGCATAATTAGTGTTTCCCATGATTCATTTTATAGCTAAACAGATAAAATGTTATAAGTGAATCACAAACTTCAAAATAATAAACAATTGACTCTTTAATTATATACAACTAATAATACTTTGGCCTTTCAATTCCGCTCATATATACAATAATCAATTTTGTGATTTGTTCATGGCCATCTCAGTCTCTTTGAATGATGCTGACTTCTTCCCAAAAAATGACTTTTTCATTTATAGTTGATTTTCAGTTTATTTTTAACTTAAAAACGTCCAGCTAGTTATTTTAGTATTATTTATATGCTATTATAGTATTTGAATGAGCTTTAATGTTAATATTTTTTTCATTTGAATTTTAGCAAACTTTTTACACACTTTTGCCATTTTTATTCGTTTTTGTGATTTAAAGGCACATTATGTAACTTTTGTCCCTCTATAGCTGTTAAAAAACAAAACTGCATGTATTTTACCAAAGAACTTTGTTGTGGATGTGAAAGATAGGAAACCCCATGAAATATTTTAATTTAAATAAAATAAATATGGACTAATATAAGATCAATACTTGATCATCTTTCAAACAATATCAATAGATAAAGGGGATGTAATTGAACCAAAAACAATGAAATGTTAACCATGATATCATTTATTTAACAAAAAATTTACAAAGATGCCAATTCCTACTGAGGAAAAAGTTAGGACATGACTCATGAGGCCATTATAACATTTTAATGACAAATTCAATTTGTACGACTGTAGTTGAGGTCAAGAAAAATATTCATGACACAGTTATAATGGCCTCATGACAGCCAGTGTCAAAACCAACCACATGACAGTTTAATGTAATGTTAACCCATAAAGCTAAGTGCTTTCTTAAGTTTGATAATTAATCTGCTATGTCATGTTTATGACATATGTATGACAATTTATGTTGTCTTGGTAATGTCAAGTTGTCATGACAAAGACACTGACAGGTTATGATGTATTGGTTAGTCAAGTTGTCATGACAAAGACATCTCAAACAATGTCATATTTGCATTAAAAATGTCGTAATTGAGCGAATGACACTTAATGACAGTTGTCATAAACATGCATAAAACCTCCTTCATATTCATGAAATGTGTCCTGTCATGATTATGAAGGTGTCATGTCAGTCTTATGTACACCCCTTCAAGTAAAGTGTCACCTCCCTTCCCAGACTCATATGCATCTACATCCCTCTTTCTGAAGGCCTCAGAGAGCTCTTTTGATCTCACCATGGTGATTTCACTCACGTCCACAATCAAGAGCAAACCAAGCTAAATGTCGGAGGTTTAAATAAGACAGGCTCCTCCACAATCCTCTCTAACCGTGTTCTAATCTTTTGCACATGATGTGGCGCACCTGATTCTAATTTTATGCATTTTAAGTAGTAAATAAATGTGGAGGTGTCCTATCTTTTTCCTCACCAAAATATTTCATTTCTATTAAAGGCACAATATGTAGGTTTTTTTCGCCACAAGAGGGCGCAGTTTCCAACAATAACAAAGGCGTAAGTTGATGACGCAGTGATGAGCTGAATGATGGGACTTGCTGTCAAGCTGATGGATCTAATAATGTTTATGGATGAGTGCAAACATTCATGTTTTTTAACATTACAGTGGTATGAAGCAGGTTGCGATTGCTAAAGAGACAGATATCACACGCGAGTCCCGCGGATATAAAGGAATAAGGACATTTAATTCTACCAAACTACCCACAAGTGCTGGATTACTCACACAGGTCAGTTTATTAGATGAATTAAACTTGTAACGCAGCGCTGCTTCACTTGGTCTAACGGTACACTATCACACTAAACGGCATTTAAATGTGTGTTGAAAGTTATAATGTTATACTACGTGTTAGTTTGTTTGCTATATGAAACTAGCAGTAAGCTAGATCAACATTAGAATAACATACTGACCATATTCTAACATTTCATCATGTTGAGCTAACGTTATATAACATTGATTTGTTTTATGTACAGTGGTGTGAATAAGTTATTACCCCCATGCTAAAGTTGCCTAAAAAGAGGAATAAAAAATCATCTTTTGGAAATTGATCTTAATGCCTTAATTAGAAAAATGCGGAAAAATCCAACCTTTAAGGACACCAATTTTCTTTGTGTATGAATAATGTATCATAAATAAATAAATGTTCTTCCTTAAAATACAGGGTGCATAAGTCAGGCCCCCCCTATGTTAAATTCCCATAAAGTCAGGCAGATTTTTATTTTTAAAGGCCAGTTATTTCATGGATCCAGGATAATATGCATCCTGATAAAGTTCCCTTGGCCTTTGGAATTAAAATATCCCACATCATCACATTCCCTTCACCATACCTAGAGATTGGCATGGTGTTATTTCAGTTAGCCTAATAGCTGGTTTGATTTGCATTGAAAGATGATCTTATGGAAAGTACCCCATGCCAATCTCTAGGTATGGTGAAGGGAATGTGATGATGTGGGTCTATTTTAATTCCAAAGGCCAAGGGAACTTTATCAGGATGCATATTATCCTGGATCCATGAAATAACTGCCCTTTAAAAATAAAAATCTGCCTGACTCTATGGGAATTTAACATAGGGGGGGCCTGACTTATGCACCCTGTATTTTAAGGAAGAACATTTATTTATTTATGATACATTATTCATACACAAAGAAAATTGGTGTCCTTAAAGGTTGGATTTTTCCTCATTTTTCTAATTAAGGCATTAAGATCAATTTCCAAAAGATGATTTTTTATTCCTCTTTTTAGGCAACTTTAGCATGGGGGTAATAACTTATTCACACCACTGTACATTTGCTCACCTGTCTAATAAAGCTGTCAAGTCGTGACTCGTGAAGCTCTGTCGAGTCCAAGTTAGTTGCGGACGTGGAGCTCTCGGCATCTCAAAAACGCCACGCTGATATTGATCCTCATTTTAGTTCTCCTTGTTTGTCCCAAAGTCTGCTTGCCATGGTCTATGTTTGAAAGAAACAAGAACTGCGTGCCGCTAAACGTTACGCACTGCGCAGTTGTCCACGTCTGTCGCCATGGTTACGTCATGGCTATGGCAGTATGAACGGAAACCGAGGAGAGCGCGGATATTGCGTCATTGACAGGCGACATTTTTTTCTGGGACGGCCACTTATTTAAAATAGGAATTTCTCTGAAATAAAAAATCTTTGGAGACTTTTGGGACATTGTAAGTACACAACTGGAGGAAATATATCACACTGTGCAAGTGATTTTTGGATATTTTATTACAAAATTCTTACATATTGTACCTTTAAGGACATTTTACAAATAATTTAAAGAAGACATTTCTTCAGTTTTATTAGTTTTTAGTATTATTATTTATATTACCTCCATCTCTCAATATTGTTAAAATGAAGATCCAATGTCCATATGTTGAAAAAGACAAATGTTTTTCATGGGGTGTCCTGTCTTTTTCACATGACTGTATGTACGCGAAAACGACATTGAAAGAAGGATTGATGATGTAATGTCTCATTATTTTAAATTTAGTTAATTTTGAATGCCTTAAATATTTCTATTTAGCTTTCATTTATTTTCATTTCAGTTTTAGTCATTTTAGTGCTTCAACTTATAGTTTCTAGTTATCTAATATTTCTAGTTATTTTTTATTTCAGCTTAATTTCAGTGAACAAAACAATTTTTAAACAGCTATTTCTAGATAACAATAACACTGTAACTAGTTAATGAATAATAAACTGACTTGCTAGTGACTGACCTAAACTGACCCCTGTGTGTCCATTAATGATCCAGTCTTAGTCCCACCAAATGCTCATAAAACCTCTGAAAAATATTTCTTGAAGTATTTCTTGTCCAATATTGATGTTTCAGCTTGTGTTTCTTATTAAGTGTGAGTCGTGTTTCAGTCTCAGTCTCTTGACACCTTCTCTGGGAAAGTTACAGATCTGCTGACTCAGGAGGCTTAAGGCTTTCTTCACAATTCATTCTTGACAAGCCGTTTTGCACCTTTTCTTCTCAACACACTTTTTTAGCCCAGCTGACTGAGCAGATTTAAAAAAATCATTCCGAACACAACAAACTCACACAAAAACATTCGCCTTGTTGCTATGAGACCAATGACAAGTGAAATAAATATGTTTTTTAATATCCAACATGTTTGACCTTCTCTGGCTGGATGGAATCATAATCTGAAGCTGAAAAAATGTAGTATTTGCTCATCATACACTAATGTATTCCACACCCTCAGTCACTAAGAGTTAAATATGACTTGAATATTATTATACTGAGTAATTATTAAAATTGATATGGTTTTGAATTGGAAAAATGCATTTGGAGTTAAAATAACTATGTATACAGTCTACATGTTTATATAATGCCATAATGTTATAGGAATTTTGTGCTACACTGTAAAAAATGACAAGTAAAACAAAGACTATTGGAGTGTTTTACAAGAAAATACTATTTTAGTCTTTCTATATTTCATGTTCAATTCTGTGTTACTTGCCATTTCTTTGTAATTATTTGTGAAATTTACTAGTAATTTCTAAGTGAAATATTTTGCTGCATCTGGTATATCCGTAATATGTAATGTTAAAGCTGCAGTCCGTAACTTTTTTGGGTCAAAAATTCTCCCAAATAAATGTTTGAGCAAATACATAACCAGCCAGTGTTCAAAACGCTCTGCTTGCCGTAGCTCGATTCAAAGCGGTAAGCTTGTAATAATGTTTTTAATTCCAGTGATACTGGTGGATTTCCGCGGGAGATTCGAGCATGTCTTTGCGTCATTACGACACACCTGTACACACACATCTGTACACACACATCTGTAAAAAATTATTATGTTGGTCATACTTCCAAAAAGTGTAATCTGTGATCTGAATGACAGTATCTACACCGGCACGGCGACTGACAGCCTCAGTTTCCTCAAACATTGTGTTCATCCGCGCTGTGCCGTGCCGAAGCACAACCCACGTAAAGCTGATAATTCTGTGAATAACTGCAATTGCAGATTTCTAACAGAGGTGGCGACAAAGAGGAAAAACTACGGACTGCACCTTTAATTATTACTTTAATTAAAAATAAATAAAAAAAATATTTTAAAAAATCCAATAATTGTCCATTTTTATTTCATGGTGAATTAGGGGTCGAACAAACAAAAACAGTCGACTGTTGAAAACCCATGGTTGGCTATTCTTCTCTTGAGGACCAAAAACCCCGTAGGCTAACAAATCTGACGGCGCCCTCTGGTGTTTGTCTTTTCAGGATGTTCCCACCAAGCTAGTGGCTAAAGCAGGGCCTTTGCCGATGTCTGTGAGAGGCCACTGGTTCCTGAGCCCTCGGACGGAGTATTGTGTGGCAGTGCAGACCGCCATCAGACAGCCTGACGGAGACTATCAAGTGTCTGAGTGGAGCCAAGTGGTGGAGTTCTGCACCGGGGGTAAGCAGAGATGGGCTAACAGATGTTTAAAGGTGCTGTATGCATAGCTGCCAACTCTCACGCATTGGCCGTGAGACACCCGCATTTGATTGGTTTCACACGCTCACACGCCACACTCCCGATTTCTCACGCTGAAGTGTCAACCCGGGCGGTCAAATGCCTGGAAGATGAGTTTATCTATATATCTACCTGTTGAGCCACTCGTGATCGACTAGTTATACCGCAAATTCGTTAAAAATCTCCCGTTATCAAGAGCGAGCGTGCATGCGAGACAGAGATTGTGCTCCAAACAGCGTAGAGCGAGCGAGAGACCTTGCGCGAGCGAGACCCCCCCCCCCGTCAACAAATCTCACTCGTCTCTACACCCCCCCCCCCCCCCCCGTCAACAAATCTCACTCGTCTCTACACCCCCCCCCCCCCCCCCCCCGTCAACAAATCTCACTCGTCTCTACCCCCCCCCCCGTCAACAAATCTCACGCCGAGCAAAACTCAAAAGTTGGCAGGTATGTGTATGCTACTTTTTTACTCTACTAAAGCATAAAAATACCATAATATGTTTGCAGATATTTAGGAAACATGCTAAGTTCACATACTCGTTTCTCTGAAAAACACTTCTACAGCCAGTTATTTTACTTATTATTTTACACGTTCCGTCTTGTCAGTCGGTTATTGTTTCGGTCTGTGTGACTCCGCCCACTGCCAGTTCAGCCAATAGTATTTCGACACCCCGGGAAGCCAGTTGGCGGGAAACACAGCGTATCGCAGCCATGGAAACGAGCAAACAAACTGGGTCAGAGATTGCAGATTCCACACAACCTAATTAAGCCTCGATATCCATCTAAAAATCATTAAGAACGAGAGCATATTAAAACACGGATAAATCAACTCATTAACTTACGTAAGTCTTCTCGGCTTTCGTTGTCAATTGCGCTCATTCCTGTTGCGTGTCTTCAAACTGGCAACGTGTGTGAGTGTCGAGTCTGAGGAGGTGGGGGAAACAACGGTCTCTGATATTTTCACATTTGGACTGCAGTACCTATTTCAACCACTAGCTGTCATACTTACAGTCAGCACCTATAAATGTGTGTGATGTTTTCAGTGTTACAAGGCTTTCATCAGAGACAACTGTAAAGATACTAAGACTGTGACTCTGTGGTGCTTTCAAATCATTTGTCTGTTCGTTTCAAGTGGTACTCACTGCAGAGTCAAATGACAACCGGCTCCTCCTCTCTGGAGCTCTAGCGAGGAGGAGCTACACTTAAGCTCCGCCCATTTGCAATGCAGTGAGCAGCTTCTGTTTGTTTGAGCAGCACAGCAACAGGCTCAACCAATAGCGTAAATTTGGGGGAGGGGCTACGTTTGTCCAACCAATGGCAAACAGCTGGAGGCTTGGGAAACCTGTTTAGAAACAATTGTAATAGAGAGGGTATGCATTGAGGTCACTTTCCCGCAGGAACACACTCCCTCAGCCGGACTGAGTGGCAGAAGAGCTGCTGTGTGACTGGATTTAATAGAGATAACCACGAGTAAAACAAACAATTATCAGTTTAACTTTAAAGTAAAGCTCGATATAATGCTGCTTACAACTTACCAAAGATCCAGTGATCCACAGATATTGAAATGTTGCCAGGAATCGTGTTTCCTGACATTTATATGTGCCTGATTTCAACATCGGGGAAATACATAAAGCAAATTTGCCTATGAATGTTTTATTTAAATACAATATAGGTTTAAATCCGTGTGATCACTGACATCAATGGTATATATATCATCATATCGTCCAGCACTAAAACTTGTATAGTTTTTTGCCAGTGTTTTTTTAAAAAACATCCAATTATGCAGAATATACGATGGTAAATATTTAACTGATAAGTTGTCAATACAATATAGGCTATATAGGGTATGATATTACCCCAAATTCAGCATATTGAGACAAAATTATAACTGCAAATCCAGTTGTTTCTATGAATCGCAGCGATCCATTTGCTTCTCTGTTCTGTAGCTTTCGGCAGTCTGTAAAAATACACCTCAGATTTCTTGTCAAATCTATTTATACAGTCAATCTCAAAGCTCTTTCCCGTTTTAGATGTTTTGTGTGTTTCACACTGAAAACCAATGTCTTTTTGCCACTCAGTGTGTGTAACCGCAGTCACTCCGGCCGGCGGTGACGTCACACGCATACTCTCTATTTCTGCTCCTCGAGAGGCACAGAAAGGACATACGGCAGCAGACAGATACAGCACTTATGTTATACTCATAAATCATGGTTGTCAATGTGTTGTTTTGTGCAGATTATGCCATGGATCATCTCCAGCAGCTGTTAGATAAAGCTCAGGCCGCTGCCGGGAGGCCGCTCAGGTTCTCCGTGTTTTACCGCAATCAGAGTCCTGAATACTTCCAGTACGTGAGGTTAGTGTCATCTATACTGCTCTCTACATATATCTTCCCTTGACAGCTCTCAGACTGCATTGATTTTTGATCTGCCGCGTGTCTTCGTTATTTGAGTCTTTGACAAAAACGTTATTTTCTCAGCTTTTTGTTCCAAATGTTTGCTTGTTTTGTTTAAAAGCTGAGGGTCTGTTCTTTCTTTTAACATATTGCATGTTTAGATATTCGTACAACAAAAAAATACTCTGGGGACCATCATTTTGTGTAAATGATAATAAATTCTGGCGCTGGCTGGCAACTTTTTTGAAAAACGCTGGCGGGGAAAGAGATAAAAGTTGCTGTTGTGGCAAATTTCTTCAACATCATTACTACATAAGAGAGAAAGTAATTTTTAAAGTAATTTATTCCCTTGCAAGAGAAGGTCAGACAGTCATACAGCCTCCCTGCAGAGTGTAAGACAAGGAGCTGTGCGACACCTTTTATATTCTTTACCAAGGTCTCCTTCAGCTGTTGCTTTTCCTAGTAGTTTTCCACTAACTTGGGCACACTTTTGCACATGCACATTCATCACTACTTCTGACACTGGGACCAACTAATTTAGATGCATCCTGACCTGAGGTCAGAAGGTCCCTCTTTTAGCTATCCCCGTCCTGTCTCTCTCTGCTCGGATACAGGTCTACAAACATACACACATTTCCCGTTCACATACCATACACACATGTGACTCGCATTCCTTTGTAATATCTACTTAAGATCAACGAAAATCAAATTTTTCCATTACATTGCTTTACTCACATTCATGTCTGGCTGCAACGTCCACTTTTCACAAGCTAATCACTAAAGGTGATAACTATAACAATTAAAGGTGCTCTAATAAAGCTATTCAAAACATCATTCAATGTAAATTGTGATAATCGTCATAAATAATCGCGATTACAATTTCAAAGGAATAATCGACAATTATGATTTTTCTCATAATCGTGCAGCCCTAGTTACACCGCTAATATGCACAGATAAATTGTTCACAATAACATGCATTCTGTCAAATTTTCATTTCATGCAGACTTGAGTTTTGACACTTATGATTTATGCTATGTTTACACGGAAACGATCTGAAGAGAAAACGCAAAAGTGGCGTTGCGTTATCACTTTTTATTCTGCGTTTAGACGAGCGTTATGGGTGGGAAATCCGCGTGCATATGGTGACGCAAAAGTGTGTGAAATTCGATGTAGTATGCACTCCAGGCGGCTAGGTGACAATGTGAAGCACCACTGCCACACAACAACACCAAGTCCGCGCGCCTGCGTACAACCTTCGCTGTCTAGCAGACTTCTGCGTTTTTACCCTTTAGACGGGAACGGGTGGAGCGTTTTTAAGATTCCCACTCTGGAGGGTGGTTTCACTTTTTTGCATTTTTAAGCCCCCAAAACGCCATCAGGCACATCCGATAAAATATTTTGGTTGTGAAGGTTGTACCAGAGAATGTCTAATTGAAGAGAACTGGCACTGTCTGGTTTCTTCCGGTTTCTGGACTGGCTGCAGTAACACCTCTCTGTCCATGCGGGGACGCTCGCAGGCGAGTGCAGAATGAATGGGAGTCTAAGGGGTTTCAACCCCAGAAATCCACTTTTCTCAGGATGTAATTTTTTGTCACGTAATTTGAAAGTTGCATTCAAAAGGGAGGGCTAAGATAATACACTCAGCTGAAAATTGCATTTTTAAGTTCACTTATCTGTTCTAAAAACCCGTAAAAAAATGTGATGACGTCACATAATAGCAGAATGCTAGCGTGTTCCGGCCAACAACGGCCTAACCTGTAAGAAATCGAAAGGACATAAGTACTCGGTGATTCGACTTTTGGCCTATAATCTATATTGAACTTGCGGAATCAACAATAAAATATATGTTGATTCAACGACAAGCAGGAGAAAGAGATACATTTAGCCGTTTAGCTCCATAGACTCCCATTCATTCTGCACTCGCCCGCGATCACCTCCAGTGGAATTCTAATGGAACTGCAACCAATATGATACACAATGGGGCTAATAGGAAGTGCCAAGGCTCTCCGTAGACGGGCTCTGGTTGTACGCAGGCGCACGGACTTAGTGTTGTTGTGTGGCAGTGCTTCACATTGTCACCTAGCCGCCTGGAGTGCATACTACATCGAATTTCACACACTTTTGCGTCACCATATGCACGCGGATTTCCCACCCATAACGCTCGTCTAAACGCAGAATAAAAAGTGATAACGCAACGCCACTTTTGCGTTTTCTCTTCAGATCGTTTCCGTGTAAACATAGCCTTAGTGTTGTATTATTGATTATTCTCTCTCCATAGATCAGAGTGTGGAGGAGCAATGCTCCCATCTTTCAAAGACAACAGTGGAAGTCACGGCTCGCCGATCAACGGGAAGCTACGCGGCGTCTTCCTCAGCTGCAACACCGAGTTCGACACCGGCCTCCCTCCGAAAGACTCCCCGTACGGGCCTCTGCGCTTCCAGATCTCTGCCGAACGTCTCCTCAACCCGAGCACAAACCTCTACTTCGCTGACTTCTACTGCATGTACACAGCGTATCACTATGTGGTGCTGGTGCTGGCCCCTGCTGGATCGGAGGGGGACGACTTCTGCAAGACCCGGCTTCCACAGCTGGACCTTACAGCCAATCCCTTCCTGACGTACACGGCCGGAGACGTTCCCGTGTTCAGTCACGCCAGCGATGTGATTCTGGAGGTGTTGTTCACAGAGCCTTTGCTTCTGGAGAACGGGATCCTGGCTCAGATCAGTGGCCGTCCGCAACTCATGAGCCTCTCCACTGCCAACGCCAAAAAAGACCCGAGCTGTAAGGTGTGCAATATCAGCGTGGGACGCTGAACTGCACTGTGAAGAAATATTGTTGGTTTAACTTAAAAAAGTAAGTTACCTGGTTGCCTTAAAATGTTGAGTTCATTGAAATTAAAAATTTTAGTTAATGCAATTAAGCAGATCAATAGAAACTCAAAATATTATGTAATCTGAACCACATTAATTATCTAAATGGATTTGACAAAAGATCAAAAGTTGCGATAACAAATAATGAAAATATTTTTTTACAGTGTGTGAAAGCATGCTGTCATTTAAAGTGCAACCGGAAAAAAAATGGACCATCACTTGCTGTGATTTGGAAATGGACGTTATCATCAGAAGCCGAACAAACATTCACACAGTGGGATTTGTTTTCGGAACATGCCAAAGGTTTTCACAAAAAGAGGAAAGAATAAATAGTGAGAACTGAATGAGATCTGATAGACTCGCCACTTGTTATGAAACAAACCAAGCCATGAGGCCTGTGAGTCAACGATTCAGAGCTTAAAGGGACAGTCCACCTAAAAATGTTTCATCTTTTACTCATCATCATGTCTTTTAATGAAAGTCTTCTGAAGCCATATGATAACTTGTATGAGTCATTCCCACTTCTTTAAATGATAGTTCACCAGAAAATGTAAAATGATCCCATGATTGACTCTCCCTCAAGCCATCCTAGGTCGGTGTATATGACTTTCTTCATTCAGACAAACACAATAAGAGCTATATTAATATCCTGGCTCTTCCCAGCTTTATTATAGTAGTGAATAGAGTTTGACAGATATTAGCAGATTTTATAATAGCAGTGAATGGTACCTGAGATTTTGAAGCCCAAAAAAGTGCATCCATCCATCATAAAAGTAATCCATATGACCCAATAAAGGCCTTCTGAAGCCAAGCGTCGGGTCAGAGGTCACTCTCCGGCCAGATCTACGTACTGCCGTTACCTGAAGCCAGTGATTATAGTTTATAAAGTTACAAATATGGATATTTTTTCTTACAAAAACACATGGCTTCGCTTCAGAAAGCCTTTATTAACCCCCTGGGGCCGTATGGATTATGATGTGCTTTTTTAGGCTTCAAAATCTCAGGCACCATTCACTCCCTTTATAAAGCTGGGAAGAGCCAGGATATTAATATAACTCTTATTGTGTTTGTCTGAAAGAAGAAAGTCATATACACTTAGGATGGCTTGAGGGAGAGTCAATTCTTGGGTGAAATAACCCTTTAACCCGTTTAATCCCACCGGTCACAATTGTGACCGCAGCTTTTTTCTTATTTCTGGAAGCTCTAAAAATGTTTTTATTGACTTTGGGCAAGAAATTCAACTTTTAAATGACAAAATAGATTGTCTTGATTAAAATCAATTAATGTCATGTGACTAGTGTGAAAGGTCACATGACCAGATCAGTTCACTTTCTGCTTGCACATCTAGAAGAAGATGTCTTCCTCAGACTACTACAAAAAGTAGTATATAAAACATCTTAATTTACATATAGAACTATCATATTTTGTACATATATTCTTTAAAGGGTCTACTACTGATATATTTTGAGAATTATACTCCTGCATATATATTTTGCTCGTAAGACTTGTAAATTTGTTTACGGTCACAATTGTGACCGGTAGTATAACAGTATAATAGTGCTTCAATTGAAAACAGAGGTATTGGCTGGTATTGGCAGGTTTTGGCAATCCTACACTGAATGGATGGATGTGAGGGGGATGGATGATCTTGGCAAAAGAGAAGTGCTCACTAACACAGATTTAGACAGATTTGTGAAGAATATTTGAGAGAAATAGGCCTTTTGTGTACATAGAAAAGGTCTTAGATCTTTGAGTTCAGCTCATGAAAAATGGGGGCAAAAACAAAAGTATTGCGTTTATAATTTTGTTCAGTGTAGTGATGAGTGTCCCAGAAACGGTCAATGTGCTGGACCTTCTTGACGTACGTGACCCCCTTCCCCCCCACCCCCACCCCAAATTGAAAGTGACTGTGATAGTGATGGCTCAGATAGGGAGTACCAGGGTGAAACAGCCCATTTGCCAAGTAGACTATTGAATGGCGACGCAGAGGTGAATTATCTGGAGGATTGGGCAGATGTTCATGAGAACCAAATGGTGTGCCCCACACATGACCACAAACAACCCTTTCTACAACGTACGGCCCATCTTCAGTGCACTGAATGAGTGAACACACATCTTCCTGAAATTGGCCTAGGACAGGGCCCAAGTGTAGTCATGGTCTAGCCCATACGGGTCTAGCCGAACAAGCAGAAGTTCCTCCAGGGTGTAACTTTGTACATGACAACCTTTTCACCTCACTAAGCCTTCTTCACGAAATGACAAAACGAGATATTGGATGTCTTGGAATGAATTGTGTCAATAGGTCTAATTGAAGAATTTGAATGAATTCTGACTATGTTGTTTCCCACCGGTCACTATTGTGACCGAGTATAAAACCTAATATTTCACTAACTTAACCAACATAAAATCAAAAAAGGCATAATGTTTGAGTGTTAGGGAGGTCTAAGGAGTAAAATGCATGTACTCAAGTTGCAAGAAAAAATTTGGGATTAAACGGGTTAAGACTAATCGTGTGTAAATCATATTTAATGAATTATGTAAGTGATTTTCTTTATTTTTATATTACGTTATTTGAGGTGTCAGAGTCTAATCCCTGGTTTTGAATCACCTGTGATCAATTTGAATCTCATGAGTCTTTGTGTATGTTGAAATATATATAAATGTTGAATTAATTGTACAGAATGCTTTAACAAAATTAAAGAAATAAAACATTTAAGACTTTCTGCATGTTATTTTTGCAGGTTTTCTGTCTGTGTGAGAATGAATCTATTTCAGTTCAGCTCTCAACAAGGACAGTAGACATTATGGAACATAAAATATTGGAAAATGCTTATTAAAATGTGGTACTGAGGTCGCGTTAACAGAAAAATGTCCATCTATTATGGAAATAATATTTTTTTTTTTAATTACTTTTTTTTATTATAATTTACTGACGGAATTTCTTTAGCAGTGATTTTGACATTAAACTGAGGCTTGTAACTTTTTAACTGTAATTCTCACCCCTGTCCACGTGGTGGCGAGTGCGCTCTTGCTGACTATCAAGTTATTAATGGTCAACGAATGGCTTTTCTGTGTTACCTGACATTGTTTACAAGCTGTTTTATTGACGTCTTTCTGTTTCACACTGATTGAGCGATTACATGAGAGACATGATATGGATTTCGGTAAGTTGGACTGTATATTTCAACATATTTCTTTCATGTTCATTCATGTTTATTTCGTTCTGTAACGTAGAGGAAGTAATTGATCGCATTCACTTGCACTCTGCTTCGCTCGAAGCGCCACATCAAAAAAAACTATATTTATTGCTAGAATTTTGTGATAAAATAGACATATTGCGATTTATTGGACAAACATTCATGATGACACCTGAAAAGTGACGCAGTCTCTGTTCAACTTTCTCTTCATCAATAAATAAATGCATAATAGCCTAATGTCCTGTAAGTTCGTGAACAAAAACGGAGCCTATTAAATGGCTTATTATCATTATGTGAAAATTAAAATGACAGGTAGGCTAATAATAGATTATAATTTTTATGACCTTGTCTGTCAAAATGACCAGTCACGTGTCAAAGCAATGGCGGAGAATAAATTGATTAAAGCATATCAAATGCAGTAAAAAAAAAAAGAAAAAACGAAGAAGAAAAAAAGGATGGAAAACAGCCTGAAATTGTTTATGATATATTTAAAGCTTTATATATATTCAATTAATGTCGGTTTATATTCCAATATGTGAGCCATCAAATCAATGATGTTGATTCCAAAACCTCTATGGTAATATTTGATAACTGAGAGCGTCTGCATGTAATCTGATCAAGACAGATTATGAACAGGCCATTTATAATCAGTCTGAACCGCGGTCTGAACAAACACAGATCTCTCTGTCTGTCTGGTGATAAGAGCAGGATTTATCGGGACCTTTAAAACTCTCACATGAAGGAAATCAATCACAACGCAACCTCAGCAGGGATCATTTCTTTACGCAAGACATTTAACATGGCAGTGTGAGATCAAAAACAATCTCTCAATATGCGTAAACATCTTTTTCTGATCAAGGGTTCTCTCATACGTCAGTCCGAAGGCCAATGTCAGGCACCAATCCTGGTAATTAATAGATTAAAATGGATTATACTTAGTGACCAAGCCAAAAACATCCTGGGATTTGATTGCACCTCCTTGAGGAATACCAGGTCGTGTCATACATTAAATTATGTTTTAGCTAGAAACATACCGGTATGTAACTTAATTAGATACCCCAACAGAATAAAAATAGATTATCTCAGAAAAAGTCCTTGACTGTAGAAATCCTGTCTGAGATAAATATAAGGAAGGATAAACACACAAAAATGATGACCATAGGAATCCAGGTGAATATTACTTAACCACTCTTTATTTTATATATAATAAAATACTTACTATAAAAACTGTAAGTTATTCACAGTACGAAAGGGTTTTATAAACATGTTAGTGCTTAATCTTAAAAAAAATGTGTATTTGATATAATTAAACATTTGTCATAAAATACATTATATCCACAGTATGCAAAGCTTCAATAAACATTCCCGCAAGATATTTATAAACCTCTGTTAGATTAGGCCTACTAAATATCTCAAAAAAAATAATGATAATCTGGAAACACTGAAAACAGTGATCATGGCACAGCATTTGGTCAGTTCTGTGCTAAACGGGTCAAAGATGTGCAAAGTTGTTCATTCTGTCAGTCTGTCTGCAGACACAGTGAATCTGTCATTAGACGACAGCAGATTCAGCGCCACACACATGAATACAATAGTTTTTGCCATTGTTATTGTCCCATTCAGTGGCACCGAGCGCCGCCGGTAAGTAAGACACGCAGAACTCGATGCGTTCGCGCGCGTCAATCCGTTCAGGAACGCTGATGTTAAACTCAAACACGTCAGTTCCAGGTTCCCCGTAACTCTGATCCAGGTACGCACACGGGACGTCCAGGTAACTGCTCCACGTATCGAAAGTAATCCGGATGTGTACGGCTTTCTCGAAGCAGACGTTCTTGACGCGCACGGTTCCCAGAATGCAGCGTTTGGTGACGTCACAGCTCTCCAACAGCACCATGTGATCCTGAAGCCTCGTTCTGAACGCCTGGAAATCTCTGCAGGGCTGTTCGAACCCAAGACTCAACCCTGAAGTCTTATTAGCTGACTCTGAGGAGCAGATCAACTTCTTAAGTCGTGGTATTTTCAGCGGTTGGCGGTTCGGTTTGTCCTCTTTCTCGGAGAACAAGCGCACTGTGATGAGCGAAAGCCCTTTGGCGTCCGCGAACGCGACGCGTTTCTCCGTGCGGCGGCCGCTCTTGATCAGGGGTGTTGTGGGAGTGTGTGTGAACTCAAACACCGGCGGATGGGAGATGCAGGGTCGCAGGGGTTTGGGAGATGTCCCCGTGAGAAGATGGTTGATGTGTGGAGAGCCTCTGCACCTGAAGCCCACGTCCACAGACCTCATGGAGACAGGCGGGCCAAACCGAGAAATCACACTGGAGACGGGAAAAAATGGGATAAAATGATTAGGTAACACTTTATTTTACGGTTTCCTTGTTACATATTAGGGGTGGTTAATCTGTCTGATTTCCCGATTCGATTCGATTACGATTATTGAAGTCCCGATTCGATTACAGTCGATTTTCGATTATTAACGATTCTCGATTAGCGATTATTGATTTTCCATTTCACAACAGTAAACGAAAATCCACTACAAAGTGTTTGCAGTATTAAAAAAAGTCAGCTGCTGAATTACTTAACTCTTTTATTGAGTAACAACAACTCAAAGCACTTTCTGTGTCGTGTAGTTATAACTTCAGAATTATTTGTATGTAGCTTATGTTCTGTAGAACACAGAAATGAATACATCACATTGTGTTGTGACTCATCAAGTTGAACTAAACAATAACAAATAAATGAAAGGCTTATTTCCTTTAGGAAGTAGATAAGAACCAACATACTGTAGAAATTGGACAATTTTCTTCTTGAAAGACAAGGTGTTGTAGCAAGCAACGCTCGTTAGGCCGGAGACACACTGGCTGTTTTTTTTCTTCTTCATGTAATCACATTGTTAAGACCATAAGAAACAAATGAAAAAAAGAGATATTTTATTCATATGTTATGCTATGACCTCTGTAGTGAACACCAGGACTCGATTGTTTAAAAAATAAAAATGAAATAAATTTGTATATAGGCAAAAATAATGGCAATATTTGAAAATCGATAATTATTATTATTATTTGTTTAAATTACATTGATATCTGAATTTATATCAAAACCTAGACTTTCAAACATCAAAATGTAATTTATTAATATGTATTCGTGTACAAAATGACATATAAACATCGTTTCCTATTCTATTTTGCCTGGAAACGCTTCCAACACGCTTGCGTGTCGCGTGAAAAATAGGCGTCGGTTCTATTTCTAGCATGCACGCGTTTTCCGCGCGGCTCATGCAGGCAGTGTGCAAGCTCTAACCTGTTAACATGGGAGCCGAAATAAAAACGGACACACCACGCAGCTGAGACGCTCACGCCACGCAGCCAGTGTGTCTCCGGCACACCTGCTCTCACTCGCTCTGGCTGCCGTTACACGCGCTTGCTACTGGAACTGGGCGCGTTCGTGACGTTCAACTTCCGGTATAACATTTTTTACAAAATAAAATAATGAAATTTTTTTTTTTTTATATAATAAAAAATCGATTTTTGAAAATGTAATAATCGATTCATACTCGTCCATAACATAATCGCGATTAATCAATAATCGATTTTTTTCACCACCCCTATTACATATGTTACATTTACTGTACTTACCATAGTAATAATATCAGTAAATTATGGATAATTACATGCAACTAAATCCTAATCCTACCCTAACCCTATAGTAAGTACATGTAGTTGCTTAATATTACTCAGTAGTACCTTAATATATAATTACACTGTAACAATGACACCTTAAAATAAAGTGTAACCAATGATTATTTGCAGGATTCGCTTTACTTTATAATCAAGGCTTGACAAACTTTTTTTGCAGTCGCTGTGACTAGTGGCTTTCCACTCAGCATTTTCACTGGCCACAATTTTGACATCGATACCATGGGGAAAAACTGCCATATAGATCTTTTTAATATTATCTCATAATTTGTTAGCAGGAATATTAGGCTGCTGTCACTTTAAGAACCGATGCACGGATCCATTACACTGTTACACATGCGTTTCTTTCTCAACTGTTTACTTTCACTTAAAACATGACTGTTTTTACGTGAATACTCGTCAAGATCTGCATTTTGACATTATTTTGTGTGTATTTGACTGTTTAAGAGAAATAAGCAGCGAAAAAGAACTAAATGTAGTAGTGAGAAACAAATTTATGTGACGCACTTTGGGTGTTTGTGCAAAAAATCTGCGGGAATGAGTAATATTATGCTGAATACGCCCAATCCAACGCTGAAACACAAGCTCTGAAACACCAGCAATATTCATCCGGAGCAAAATAATCGAGTGAGTGAGGAGAGGCGGGTTTGTGTGTCACTCGCTGTCGGAGAGAGCTCCACTGTACAACATGTGGTTAAGATGGAAAAATATTCAGTTTTGTCAACTCTGTCAGGTTTTATGTCTGACTGTTATGTCTGGGTTTTTTTTGCATATGGGAAATTATTCTAAGGTTGATTCATGACTTTATTTACATACTGTATATATTTGGCCTGATTTACATGCCATGTATACATAACATCTTTACATCTACTGTGCGTGTGCGCACACACACACACACTCTCTCTCTCACTCACACCTGTTTGTAAGGACATTAACTGGAAGGATCTAGAATTTAATTTAATATTAGTTAATCTAGTTGTCTTGTCAATGAGTTGTTTGAAAAAACATTTGCGAATACTTAAATCTGTTGTAACCTCAGTAAGACCTTTGTCAACACCAGATGAAGGTTCCTGTTAATATTGAAAGAAATATTTTATTATTTTTTCAGTTTATTGTGTTAAAAATATTAAAACATCAACTGAACTACATGATATTTATTTCTTATTTACCTAAGATCATTGGTTATATATGCTTAATATTAAAAAGGAGGGTAGAGAATTAAGGAATTATGAACTGGATTGTTAATATAATAGTGCGAAAAACTAAATGTAGAGAATATATTTTTATCACTTAGCTCTATTACTGAACACAAATAGTACATAATTAAAGACTTTACACTGTTTTTGGATGGATCAAATAAATAGCTAAAATAGCATGCTTTTTAATGCGTCTGAGTCGACAAATTAAGTTTATGAAGTAAGTAAATGTACATTTTTAGAAAAAAACATTATCATAACCTGTTCCCTTACATGGTTCATTAGCTGAGACCGTTGTTTAGCTACTAATATATCAACTTATAATAATGTATTAAATAAAAAACTAACATCTTAAACATATTTTATCCCTTATCCCAAAAATCAGTTGTTTTGCACTCACAAACAGTAATTTCAAGTTGAAGTTGAGAAAAATATTGACCACAGAAATTCCCATGATTTTTTTGTGACCAATTTTATTACTTTCCATTACTTGGTCAGTCCTGGAACAATCTGATTTTTATTTTATTTTTTTAATTCCCCAATATTTCTAGGTTTTCAAGGACTGGGATCCCTGGGTTTACTATTTTGCCTTAATCAAACAATAAACTTACTTTGCACAAGTCATCTTCAGCATATAATCGTGAAATCCTCCTTCACAATTCCTTTTCCCCCACAGTGTCCACACACCTTAAACTGAGCCGATGCTGTAAAAACATACATGCAAGTGGTTTTAAAGCAAGTTAGTAAAATAATAATTGTCCAGTGCATATTTTACCCAACTTTCTAAAACAAAGTAAAAAAAAAAACTCTTACTGTGCTTTTATTTTGATCATTGCATTATCCGCTGAAATCCTTAAAAAATATGATCTTTTGTGTTGTTTATTTATTTTATTTTTGTAATAAAGGACACGTTTGTGATGTCTCTGACTACCTCGGTTGAGCTTCAGGAAGCGTTATGAGAAATCTTGCGTCACTTCATCTTTTATAGACGCTTGATCCCTCCTCCAAACTCAAGCCAATGAGCTTTACACAGGACAGGACTTAACCAGCTATTTATGACCTGATCTGTGGGCTAAAGAGTACAGGAGACTAAATCCTATGCCAAACTTGACGAGTATCAGAGACGTGAATTTATGAAAAAAATATTTATATGAATGCACTGTATAAGGAAAATCACACATTATATCTACAATACACTACATGCAATATACCAAAATATTTGTTGTATACAATAAAATAGTACAAATAAGCTAGAACAAAGCAATGTGGAACATGGAGATGCCATTTCAAGAAATTGTGGATTATTTAATTTTTTGTTTAAGTGGATGGATTACTATATAACAAGTTAGTTATTTATTTACAAAAAAAAGGGCTTTGTGCATAAGAAATGCATTAATATGCATGCATGGCTCATTTACTTGACAAAATGAGTGGCAGTTGTGCCATTCTCAATGCTTCCAACAAATCTGGAAAGACAGTCATGATATTTCTATTCAATGCCATTTATGTAAGAGTGAAATTAACATAATTATGCCTTTGGACAATGAGCAAAAGCATGGAAACTCCTCGGGGCCATTTAGGCATAAAGCAAACCAGCGAGCGTGATGTTTAACCTCATTAGGCTTTCATTCTTCATGCTTGAGCTTCTTTACAAAGAGAGGCAGAGCAATAAGAGAGAATCACCATCAGCATATCAGACCTGTCGTTCCGCACGTATACAGGAATCACTGTGGTTTGAGCCTTTGCCAATCAATGCCTCGAATACAGAAACGCCAATCTGACTCACTGACTGTTTGCCTCTGACAAATTTGGTAATGATAAGCAGTGTAAATGACTAAGGATTAAAAACACACCCATATATGCTTGATTAACTTTAAAATCAATGAGCATTTCCAGCCTATAGCAAATTCCACTGCAGTGTGAAGAGTGTTTTAAGGGTGTTTTCACATTTGGCAGGTTCGGTTGGATTAAAACGAACTCTAGTGCGATTGCTCTGTTCACACATTTAGTTTGGTTGGTTCATTTGGTATGGACCAAAAAAAAAAACATTTAGTCCTGACCCGCTTAGCGTTCACATTGGCAATTTAACACCGGATTCGTTCACAACCTCGTCTGCTTTTATTACGTATATATTTTGTGACGAAACTATGCATTCTGTCCTTTTTAGGTTCGCATCTTGTGACATCATGTCCTGTTTTTGGTTCGTTTACATGTGTTTGGACCGTGTTGTGTTCATATTTCATTATTTTGAACGGTTTGGAAGCGGATCGAGACTCATCTTTAGTTCACTAGTGTGAACTAAGAGACTTAATTTTCTTTAGACTTTCAGAGACTTTAAGTCAATAGGGCCAAAAGTATAAATAGAAAATATAGAAATATTAGAAAACCTAAATATACATTCATCAAATGTTTAGCGTATCCCATCATGCATCATGTTTAGGAACTCGCATGGCCTGAAATCACAAGATGCTGAGGGAAACATTCCACTGGTAAATTATTTAGATATTACATACAATTTGCTAGTGAAACACAAAGTGTTGCCCATTTTATTGATCCAAAGATGTGAATGTATATTTTGTACAACATTTGCAACTGCTTTTTATTGTTAAATTAGAAAAACAACACCACAATTAGCCTACTAAATCTGTTAGCTACATAGGGACTACTGAACAGACATTTATGAGTTTATTTTAAAATGCAAAGCATTGAAAATCAAAATAAAGCTCAGTGAACACACTTTTACAACACTATAAGTGTCACGTAAAGTAAGTGCTCTGAGGGTTGAGGATCCAAACGCAGTCTTTATTATAGGGGTAATCCTGAATCATAGTACAAAAACAGGCTGAGGGTCAAGAGTAAGACCAAGGCAAGCAGTAGCCTGGGTTTCCCCATACTGCCTTACCGCAGCGCGATTCAATTCACGCTGAAAGGCAGTCTGGATACCATGGCCAGATTTTTCGCCTCATTTAGGGAACCAATCACAGAACGGGGAGGGAGCAGCAAGACGATGACGCGTCTATGCGACACACCGAAGCAGTTTGTTTATACCTATGGATCAAACATGGCAGTAGACGCGAAGTTACCTTTCGATGCAGCCTTACGGCCGTTTCACATATAGGTTTCACACCGCAAGCGTGAGCGGCATTTGAGCAGCGCGTCAGCGTAACTACATCGTCACTGCAGCTGCAGACGCGCGAGAGTATTCACACTGGAAGCGTTTGTACAGTGTCACAGCAGCGGCTCCAAAGCTACATATCGTTAGCCTCATAGCATAATTGCTTAAGTCATTTTGTGTTTTTTCTTGTTTTCCAAAGACATTGAAATATGACTTCGGCATTATATATAAGCGAGCAATTCTTTACAAAAACAACTATACATTTGTTTTTAGAAGTTGGTCATTTTATAACATTGATAGTCTTGAAAGTTTGTAATGGGAGGTGTACAACATTCGCATATAAGTTAAATGTAATACAACAAAACAACCCAGAAAATGGCTCCAATCTATTAGTTTCAGTCATACTTTCGATGTTTACAAGACCGCAACTCCGCGGATAAAAAACAAAACACACAAATAAACCACACACTCGGGTTTGATTTGGGTTGTGCTAGCCTGTAGCTGTCTGTGTGTTAACGTTACATGAACTAAAAGAACGTTTATATATAATATTTTCTGGCTAGTTTACTTCAGTTTTTTTTATTTATATAATACACAACTTTCACCCAAACTGAATAATTAAAAACAAGTTTTTACCGGGTAAATCTTCTATAAATATTTTAGAGTCTTTATTTTCTTTTATTTGCCTACTCAAGTTCTTGTTAAAACTCACTAGACATGCTAATTCTGTGCATTTTGGGCAATTTTTGTGTGAAATCACATTTATTTTTGTCCATCAAAAGTGTGCTTTCACTTTAATTTAGCGTGAGCAATGCAGCAAAAAACAGATTCGAAACCCCCGCTTCACCGCTGCTCACGCGCCGCTCCTGCTCGACGCTCACGCGCTGCTCCCGGTGTGAATGCACTCATTGCTTAACATGCACGCCGAAAAAATACGCGCCGCTCACGCATGCGGTGTGAAACGGCCGTTAGATACACGCCATCGTGTAGGCTACACATAAATCTCTGACCCATCAGCCATCGTCGTCTCCCTCGCTATGCTCCCTCGTCTAATTTCTGTCGCTCTACATACGTCATCTGGTATAATCGAAACGATTGGCTATGAGCTACGTACAGGCGCATTTGATAGACATTCTTAGCACCCAATAAACGGCTCTGGGCATTCGTAAACCACGCCTCAAATACGAGAAAATGAACATGTGGTTCCCAGACCCAATTCTCAACGAGATTGGGTCTGGCGTTAGCCAGGCTAGGCAAGCAGTACAAAACAGGGTAATTCAAAGAAACCAGTCAAAAGGTCCAAACCATGAGACGGGGAAACCAGAGAGCGAGTGCTCAGAGATGCAGTGTGGCCACATACAAGACTTAGCAATGAATGACAGAGAACATAGGACTCGTATAGGCAAAGCCTAACAAGCTAATGAAGCTCAGCTGAAAACAATTAGGCCCAATCAGTCTGGGAAATGGGTTCTGGGAAATGTAGTTTGTGATAGACGACAATGGACTAGGGCGGACTGCTCTCTGATGGATATCCAGCTGGCATTCGTGACAATATATGTGTGTCCCATCGGGTAATCAAAAGTGATCACACTTGAAATTGCATACTTCCCTACTATATAGTAGGTGAAAAACAGTATAAAAGTATGTCTAAATTCACAGTACTCATAAAAGTGTTGGTGAAAAGTACCCGGATGATCTACTATTTTTGGCAAGATTCTGAAGTGTGTATATGATGGACACTTTACTATCCCATGAGGCCCCGGGAGAGGTTTTGTGAATGATAGTGAAGCGACGCTGGTAGGTCACGTGATAATGACTACATGCCGAACGTAGTATGTCCAGATTACATTCATACTATATAGAACATACTTTTTTAGTGGTCCTTAAGTAATTCATTATTCAAAATAAGTACCTACTCAAGAGAGAATGCGATTTGGGACGCAGCCGCAGTCTTCACACACACTTGAACACTATACAGGAAATACGTTATGTAAGTAGACAAGTGTTCAAATGCAAAGACATAAACATATGTCATGAACATATTTTAAAAGCCTTCCTGATATAAATTATATACATTTCATTTACTATAGTAATTAACACTGAGACAGTAATTTGTGCAAAAAGCACTAATGACTTGTTTAAGACTTGAAGCTTAAACTCGAGGTCTTGCAACTTGACTTGGACTTGCCTGTCTTGACTCGAGACTTGACTTGGGACTTGTCTGTCTTGACTTGGGACTTGACTTGGGACTTGTCTGTCTTGACTTGGGACTTGACTTGGGACTTGTCTGTCTTGACTTGGGACTTATCTGTCTTGACTTGGGACTTGTCTGTCTTGTCTGTCTTGACTTGGGACTTGACTTGGGACTTATCTGTCTTGACTTGGGACTTGACTTGGGACTTGTCTGTCTTGACTTGGGACTTGACTTGGGACTTATCTGTCTTGACTTGACTTGGGACTTGTCTGTCTTGACTTGGGACTTGACTTGGGACTTATCTGTCTTGACTTGGGACTTGACTTGGGACTTGTCTGTCTTGACTTGGGACTTGTCTGTCTTGACTTGGGACTTGTCTGTCTTGACTTGGGACTTGACTTGGGACTTGTCTGTCTTGACTTGGGACTTGTCTGTCTTGACTTGGGACTTGTCTGTCTTGACTTGGGACTTGACTTGGGACTTGTCTGTCTTGACTTGGGACTTGACTTGGGACTTGAGTTGAAACTTGACTTGGGACTTGACTTGGGACTTGACTTGGGACTTGTCTGTCTTGACTTGGGACTTGACTTGGGACTTGTCTGTCTTGACTTGGGACTTGACTTGGGACTTTAATGTAAAGACTCGAGACTTACT